TATATATATATGTATATCCATATACATGTTTATATTATATATTATACATTTATTTATTTATTTATTTATATATATATATATATTATATTATATATATATATATATATATATCAAATATAAATATATATATATACATATATATATATATATATATATATAATATATTATATCAAATATAAATATATATATATACAATATATATATATATATATATATATATATATATATATATATATATATGTATAGACATATATATATATATATATATATATATATGTATCTTTAATCATGTGTGTGTGTGTGTGTGTGGGAGGGGGGCGCATGCGTGAGTGTGTGCTGAGTGTGCTTTGTGCTTTGACAGCCTCCTCAGTTAAATGGCTGAAGCCTGTGTCAAGCACTAATAATGTCATTTGCAATCTATCCTGGCCCTTCAACTGAATACAATCTTGAACTCAGATTTCCATGTTACTCTGACATAAAATACTTACCAGTTTTATTTCATAATCAGGACTTGGAACAACAGAAAACCAAGACACGAGCCTTGCTATATACTATTTCTAACATATAATTCAAAAGAGAAAATTCCTTTTATCCGAGCATTTTTGTTTGGATCTCCTCGGAAAATCTGAGGTCTTTAATTCAGCAAAGTAATATCCTATGATTAACCTTGTCAAACCTTTTTGCAAAGTTTGGGTATATCACACTAATTTCTCCATTTTTAGTTAGGCTCTCTCATATGCTTTAAGGTACGTCAGCATTTTGTATATAGATACAACTTTCCTTCTTACTGCCCTCTCAAAAACTTTTTTTTTCTATGAGATATTAATACTACCAATCCATAATAGTATTTGTTCTGACCTTACTTTTCTACTTCCCCCTTTGTGCATATTTCCCTCCTTGAGCGTACTCAGGATAATGCTCATATCCAATGCATATGTATATATACACATACATAGAAGTAAAGACAAACAACATACATAAAGTACTGTACATGTGTGGATGTGTCTGTGTACATCTGCATTTGTGCATTTATCAGTGAATATATGATAAGAGTGTATCTGAGTGAATGGGTGCGAATAAGCTTGACAGTACCATTAATGTCTCTTATTACATTTAGCTATTCCAAGTTTATAAAAATAGAAACAAAACCAAAAAATAAACAAATATATATATATATAAAAAATACATGTAGTTAAGCAGATAAATTATACACCAGAATACTTCATTCTGAGTGTGTATGTAAATCAACCTGACTTTATGTGCTTTATATCATAAACTGTTTTGGTTTCAGATTAAAGTCTGTTATCATTGCTTAGATCTTCATGTATTCATTCCATCAATACATAATGTTCTTACCATGACTTTATTCTAATCACATAAACAAATATCTAAAAAAATATTTATATGTCTGTTAATATATTCTAAGTTATACAGTACAATCATCCTACTTTTCCTAAAGCAAAAAATATGTATTTAAAAAATATATATAAATAAACATATCCCCCATGATTATCAAAAACAAAAAATAAAAAAATATTAAAGCCATTTCTTCTCTTACTGTATTATCTTTCAACAGATTATTTTTGTAATATGTGCTGAATTATATATAAAAATATATGTATTTCAAAATGCTGAAGATACTATGCTTTGTGAAAATGTAGTCTTTTATTACTGTAGATGGTATCAAGAGCATTATCAAAAAGGAATAATGAAATGCATAAGAACATCCAAGAGCATGGTATCCTTAGCATCAGAATGTGAAGAATAATACTGTATATTATATTAACATTAAAATGTATGTGACACTATGTTGAATTTATTAGAATACCTATAACAACTTAAAAAATTTGAATACCAAACCGGAACAGCATCACATCTTGAATTCCTATTCTCTCCTATTTAATAAATATCACTTCACTATCATAAGATACTTATTATCAAAGACTTTTGTAATGTTTTACAAATACGACTAATTTTTCATATACAACTGTGTATTTCATGTACATATAGTCAGGGGGATAAGACTCCTGAAAACTATATGTTAAATACTTGCTATTCTGTTATAGCAAGTGTTTAAGAACCCTACAATTCCTAGTTCACTGTGACAGGTGGTGACTTGATTCCGAAACGAGGTCTACTCACCTTACTCCATATCTGTAAATAATTATACTATTCAAAAAACTGACAGAAGTCTTCAGAGGTATTAACTGCACGGTCATTCCTAAAGATTTGAGTTAATAATTCTGTATTTTCTTTTCTTTTTTATCTTATCTGTCTTTTTTCAGTTAGGTGGGCTTTGAGGTGAAAAATCTGTGATGAAAAAATTTTACTCATGTCGAATACACATTTACATGTCAAAACACTGACTACAGGAAGTTTACAAAGCTCCCCCCAAATTCATATTTTCAAATATTAATAAAATACCAGTGAAATGCAAAATTTAAAGGGAAATAACAAAAGCAAATAAAGAAGAAAAAAAAAAAGTAGGAAAAACACATTATTAAGAAAAGGAAAGAAAGAAAAAGCAATAATATATGCCAGTATGTAAGGCTTTTTTATCAAGAAAACAAACCTAAAATAACTTGATTACTGATTTTCAAAGATTAAAGCATACTGTCTTCCTCATATAGTTTTATTGGCAAAGTTATTCCTTATATGATAAATTTCTTTTGTCAAATAACATCATACAAACAACCTTGAGTTACACATACCATCACAATTACTACTTACAGATCAAATTTTCTTTTGAACACAGTTCATACAGTATACGGAAAATACTAATTGTATAATGTTATTAACAATAGGAATTCAGAGACCTCCTTCACAACTACACTCATCATCAAGAATTTAATGTTCAGTGTAAATAAAACTCTAAACTTCTTATTGTAATTTATATCGCATCCTTCTTATAGATCTTCTAAAAAACATTGCACATTAAAAATCTTTCTTCATATCTGAAAAGAAAAGAGAGATTCATAAATTAGTAATAAAACACTGATTCTGGGAGTGCATGTATAAATCCAGTGTTCTCTGGTTTGCTTTTGCTAATATAGTTTACGCACAGATGACTTTAGAGCACTTAGGCCTAATCAAGAAATCAAGCCTAATCAAGCCCATATAACTGTACCAATTTACCCTATTCCTGAATTGTTTGTAAACAAAAGACTTCAACTTTATCACTTTTACCAGAACAGGATAATAGTGATCTAATAATAATAATAATAATAATAATAATAATAATAATAATAATAATGTTAACAACAAATGATAGTTATACTGGTGATTGAAATAAAATGCATTTCACTCTAGGAATGGGAAACAGGTAAGATCAGGCAGGTGTGGTAAATGACTCTTTGGTGACTAAGCAGTTTCAGAGCCATCTGTGTGTAAACAAAATTAATTTATCAAAAACATGTTGGACAATGCATGTTCCTAGCACCAACTGTACTACACCAAAACATTCTACTTTAAATCCCAGTTCTACATCTGGCTCAACATGAAATACCATAACTGAATTAATGAAACAAAATATCATCAATCTTACAGCAAAGGATGTTTTACAGTTAATTCTTATCAAATTACATATAATTACCATAATGAATCTTGACATCTTTCAGTCTCACGGTGAATTGAAGAGTAAATTTAATATTTGATGTTAACATGTAATCAAAGAATCTCTTTTCATATTATTTAAAGCATTTAATCATTGGGTAACATACCACTGCTTTCCTGTCTTCGGGAAGCATTCTCTTTTGACAATCCAGCCAGGAAGGACTCAAATACAATGATGCTTCCTTCATCGAGGTCTTTTTGTACTCTGCCACTGCTCGTTCCTCATCTGTCTTTCCTGCATCAAACTGGTTGATTTCTTCCACAAGCTGACTGCAAATACAGTATTTCTAATGAGCATCAAATATAAATGAGCATATAAAAAATGAAAAGTATGCACCAGAAATAAATAATCAGCATATGCCTCCTATGATCTCATAATAACGTAAAGGGTAAAAATACATATAATAATAATATAAAACAAATAAATTTGGATAATTAAAGATAAAAATATAACCTAGTAAAATGATAAATATATAGCAATAATGACAAAAATGATAAAACTAACCACAACAATCAAAAATACCTATAATATACTACAAAAGCTACCACACACTGGAACCAACCTCAAGTTAGGGACAGCCATGGGTCAAAAGCATCAGCCTTCCTTGGGTCAAAGCACACACAAACCCGCCCTGTCTTGGGGTGGATGCAGAAGGGGGACTTGAGCAGATGGTTGAGCCCTTTTGTTACATGAATATCTAGACGTGGATACACCAGCTGCAGAATGATCTCTGTGACTAAGTTTGGCTTGATGCCCTTCTTGAAGTCACTCTGTCAGAGGAAAACTCATGAAATATATATCACTAGAAAGAAAAACCATAATTACCATACATAATCAACAATACATTTCATGACAAATCAAGAAAAGATCAAGAATAAATCCAGAATTTAGTCAAGCACAACTCCCAAACCTACCTTGTTAATGCCTTGCTGATCTCTGACTGTATGGTGTTCCAGCGCTGTGTGAGTTACTACACTGTGACATCACCTTTTCCAGAGACTCTCGCAGTGACTGTTCGGGAATGAGAGTAAGGACCTTCCCCCATTGGTCAGGTGTGCCTAAGAGGTCTTGGTCCTCAAGAATCAACTCTTCAAAATATTTCTTGGCTATTCCTTCTGCACGTCTGTGAAAGAACGATGGAGAGAGTGAATTTTTTGGTTCTATTTCAATGGTTGAATTTCTAATCTTTATTGAGAAAAATATAAAATCAGCCCAAACTATGAACTAAGTCTGATATTACTAGTAGTTTTCAGTAGTCAAAATTCTTTAATAATCAATAATACCTATGGAGTTAACTGTTTACTATATAATCCCTTTTCAGAATGAAATGAGCCCTGACATATAAGCAACACTAACAAATCCATAAAAAGAAAAGAAAAGAAAAAAAAGAAAAAAGAAAGAAAAAAAAAAAAATCAGTCTAATCAAAATTATTCCTGAATTGAATATCCAGCACAGCTTACTTGATAGACGGATGAACCTTCTGTGTGATGTTAACTTTCTTGCTCTGACTATCACCACCCCTAATGAGCTGCAAGTACTCAGCTACAGCTGAGCGCTGAGGCTGTGACAACGCCCTTGCACTGGCATCCGAGACCCAGCAGTGAACACCACGACGACCAGAATAGACCCATAAGAGATGCTGGTATCCGAAGTCCTCTGAATTGAAGGAATAATAAGAAATATGAATAAGAGAGGAATAATAATAAATAAGAATACATGAGGAACATAAGACAGAGAGATGAATAATAAGAAAAAGAGAAGAATAAGAAATAATAAATGCATAATAATAAATACAAATAAGAGATGAATACGGATACATTATTGCATAATTAAGTAATTACATTTAATGTATAAATTCATTTCTTGTGTTTATAATAACCATTTGAAATTACACTGATATAGAGTGGTCAAATGTAAAAGTTAGATGTATTATTCTTATAATGACACTGAGCCCATTCCAGAGAGAGTGAAATTAAATCTATTATCCAGTGCCTATACATGAATATATGTGGATATATTTAACTTCTCATCATATCTGCTCAGGGGAGTATTAGATTGATAAAAAGTAATATAGTAACCCTCAAGAAGGGGCTAGGTAATAGTTGGTGGCAGCTAATGAGATAAACGCTTTGGACCCAGATGACTCTGCGGTCACGTCACAGAAAAACTTGAGCCTTTGCCAGGGTGACGCAAACTGCTGTCATGAGCGAAGGCCAGGGTGACGGAAAAGACTCACCACGAGTGCACAAACCTCTTGGAGTGTGATCTGACTCATTTGGCACTTAGAAGGGGGCTTTAGCATTATTCCCATTGATAAACAAATCTGGAATGTAAAGTGCATAAGCAGTGACTAAAGGAGCGTTGCTCCAGAGAGGACGCCATTTCCTTGCTGCACATGTATGATAAAAAAACAAATGTTCCATTTTCTTTTTTTTCTTTTATTGCACTGAGTTATTTACAACATGGAGAGATGATATGGAGTCTGTGCAAGGAAAATAAGTAATCCTCATCTGCATAAGGCAAATCAAAGGACAAATATGGACACCCAGAAAAATGGCAATAAAGCTAAAAAGGGAGCAGCGACCATAGGTTGAGGATCAGTGTGGATTGAGCCTCTGCTACAGTGAGTCTTAGTGATTCTATGCTGTTTGGGCACATGAACTCCTAATAAAAGATTATTTCTTTCAATAGTATGTTCCTCTGGCATTTAATGACGGGATATATATTACTAGTTAATGCATGATAGATGACAAGTTTTAAAGGATATTAGAGAAATAATTGGTTATTAATGAAGTTTTCTTGGAAAGGTAAATATTGAAGTGTTAAAGCGTTTTCTAAAGTAAAAGTATTAACATAACACAACAAAAGTTTCCGATCATTCCAGGATACATATATATCATATCACATTGATTTTGGTTTCCTTAATAGTTTTAAGGGTAACAAGTTTCTTTCCTCTGTATAGTGAAAGACTTTTCATCTTACTTATGAATAACAAGGGTTATACACTCTGGGATATATTAGGCTTTGTATACACCTGTGTTGGCGCAGCAGCAGACTTAACCCACTAATGACGGGTGTCCCACATATGAGACATCCGAAAAAATAAACACTGCCGGGTGTCCCGCCATGTGATACTGTATCGGGGCTTGCGTTCCGATGCAGCAGCAGGCCGCAGCTAGCGGGTGGACAAAACTCCAGGGGGGCTCTGCCCACGATTTTGTAGCCGCCCGGAATCTTTTATTTTCGGCTTCAAAAATACCAGCGTCAATGGTTAAGTGACAAGGTACATATCCTGAGTCAGGGAAATGCTGATTTTTGTGGAGAATTGACGGATATTTCCAGTTCCCAATGGAGAACAGTGCTCTTTTCAAAAACCTTGTATGTGGCCAGAGGAGACTGACAAGTAGTAGAGGATCTGAGGAAGAAGGAGGTTGTGGAACTGAAGGTAGAGCTAGAAAGGAATAAGCAACCGCTTACAACAACGCAGACCAGACATGGTAGGGCCTTCACCAGTGGAAATGATGCAAAGAGGTCAATGTGTCCCTATGTTCGAAGGAAATAAGAATGAGCTATCTGGAGGCAAAAAGGAAGATGCGAGATGGTGAACTTCTCCGCCAGCTATATCCACCCTGAAAAGGGATATGCTAAAGAGATAGCACAGATAATGACCTTGAAACCTATCTCATGGGAGGAGATTAGGAGGAATATTTTGACTCAATTCTCCCAAAAGAAGAAGATCTAGGATGAATGTTTATGAGATGCGGAAAGCTACCAGGATAAATCTTTTGAAGAGTGGAATCAACAGTAAGAAAGCTAACTGCATGAATTCTACTCTTTTATGTGTATGGCCATTCCCTGAAGACACATTATTTCCATAACTATAAGATGTTTAACAACAACTATGGTTGGTTGTGCTTAGACAGGTATCGAATTGGAGACAAATGGGATATAGCGATATTTAAAACTATGCCATACTCTCAAATCATGGAAAATTATAAGTGACGGGTGGAGAAAATTGGGGGAAGGACTCACATTCCAATCTACCCTTGTCCACTTCCTTCGTTCACGTCACGTCAGTAAATTTAATATAATATTAATCTCACCTAGAATTGTTTGTCACAAGCAGCACACATGATCACAGTTGAAACTTGAACAGGGGGCACTGTGCCACACAGGCACCCTGGCCTCTCCTGACCCCGCTGACCCAGCACTGAGCACACTTGGTACCCTTGTAAACAAAATCTGTAGATTATCACCATATGTCCCTGAGACAAAGCGTCTATAGTGCCTAGTAAAACATTAAAGGCCTATCCTCTCCATGGGATCAACATTACACTCTGCAGCTTCAATGGAATGTGGAGCTCCCCTAAACTACCATTCTATTTACCATACAACCACTGGAAAACCATTTCCATGGTGTATAATGGTCTCCTTGGATCAGGATTACCTTTAAAACAATACTACTATTAAGTCCAGCTATTGACAAGTGGGATTATAGCAGAAAAAGGAAATAAGAATAAGAATGAATAATAAGAAATAAGCATAAGAGATTACTAGGAATAAGAATGAGAGATATGAAAAGAAAATATGAGATAAGATAAACACGTTACTTCAAGATCAACATCATCATCATCATCATGGGGGCTGACGCCGACGGGGGCGCATAGCCGCATCCACCCTTCGCTTCCACCTACGAGGATCCCTCATGGCTAGACGCCAGGCAGGGACTCGGCCCATCTCTAGTTCTTCACGGCAGGTTTGGTCGATCTGCCCAAGCCATGACTTCCTCGGTCGTCCCACAGGCCTCCTCCACCCAGGGTTGTCTCGAATAGAGACGACCTGATGGGCAGGATCATCCTGAGGAAAGCGAGCCAGGTGGCCGTATAGCCTGAGTTGGCGATCACGGATTGTGCAGATAACAGGGCTTGTGCCAGTCTCACGGTGCAACCGTTGGTTGGACACATGGTCCCGCCAACAGTACCCCATGATCTGGCGCAAGGACCTATTACAAAAGGCTTCAAGACGAGCCTCCAAGGCACAGGACAATGTCCAGGTTTCGCTACCGTATAGCAAAACTGGCATTATCAGGGCCTTGAAAACCCGTAGCTTGGTCCTTCTGCACAGGTACCGACATCTCCAAATACTCTTGTTGAGAGAGTTCATGACCCCTGCTG